TAGGATATGGCAATATCCGAGTACCACCAGTCGCCTAGCAAGGTGTCAAAAACTTGATGCCCCCCCCCCAAAAAGGAAAAAAGTGATAAAGTACAGGTAGTCCTCAACTTACAACAGTTCGCTTAGTGACTATTCGAAGTTACAATGGCACTGAAAAAAGTGCCCCCTAAGCCACAGCTGAGCAAGACACCTGCCTGCCCACCCAGCGGCACTCTTCCTCCTATCTGAGGTTTTCATTGTTGTGAGCATTTCTGTTGAGGATTGGCAGCGGGGGTGGGGTGGGGGGGTGTTTGGTTTTTATTCCCCCATCTGCTGGGTGATTGCAGCAGGTTTTGGTCACTTTACATGACCCTGGGACACTGTGACTGTCATAAATATGAATCGGTTGCCAAGCATCTGAATGTAAATCACAAGACCCTGGAGATGCTGCAACATTCCAGCTGATCGGCGCTTTTTCTGGGCTCAGAAGCGCCAGGATCAGCGCCGAGCACCAGCTGGAGCCTGGCGCTGATCCTGGTGCTTCTGCTGAGCCCTGACAGCCCTACAACTCCAGCCATCTCTCACTCAGGCTTGTGTGGTGATGCCAACGGTTCAGCTCATTCCCCTACCACTTTTCTAGGATGGTCGCGTACCACCTGCCAGGTGCCAATGTACCACAGGTGGTACCCGTACCACTGGTTGAAAAACCCTGCTCTAGTAGATCTGAGCAACTAGTACATACCCATGTCTCTGAATTATTTCTAAACCCGGCTGGATTAAGCTGTAGCTGCTGAACACCTCTATGGCTATGATGTGGGGCTTCTCTGTGGTTGTACTTGGCCTATGGAAAGCCTCCCAACCCACCAGGATTTCAGAAAGTCCATCTCCTCTCTCAGGCTTTATGGCCAGGAGTTTGGGTATTTCTGTTTGCCTTCTTTGACAATTTTGATGAAGAGTTGATTATTTTTATTTGACATCTTTTATTGTTTTTTTTAACTGAAATTTTTCCTTTTATGTTTATTTAACTGCCCAGTGTTAAGATATAGATTTGCAAGATAAATACGTAAGTAAATTTGTAGGTCACACCAGAGAAGAACTGATGGTGTTTACTAACTGGTAAAAAGGAAAAATCACTACAGTATTTTAAGCATAATGTACAGGAATGAAATTATGCACGAATCAATAATTCCTTAAGTCCATATGGCAATTCTACCCTACCCTACATTAACATTTTGAACAGATTTTACTACTAGCTTAGAGGAACAAATGGTATTTTCAAATAGCTGGCTTCCAACTAATTTGGGGTATATTTTAGACATCAGAAAATTATAAAGATGCTCTGTTGCTGAAGATGGATTCATAAACTGTTCCAAGAACCAACAATGTATTCATCTCTTTAGCAGCCATAGTGCCATATGCTTTGGGAAAGTTTAATCAGAATTCTTATCAGAAGCCAGGGTTCCCCCCTCCCAGAAAGAATAATTAGATGGTTAAACATTTCCAGTGTGATTTGCTTCATCAGATTAACCTCCTGGAATACTATCATTTTGTTCAAGTCAGTAGTTACACCTGACATGAAAATATCTAAATTATTTATCAAAAGAAACTGTCAGAGGAAGAATAGATTGATATAAAATCATAACATATTGGTAATTATCAGAAATACTGCTATTAAAGAAATTATATTATGTGATTTTAACACATAATACACTGCTGCAGATTGGTTTATGATAATAAACAAAATAAATGTATATATTATAAAATCCTTTTTTTATAAAAAATTTATAAAAACAATGTAGTCTGAATTTTTTGTCACCTGTGCTTAATGTTGTAATACTAAATTATCCACATCCACAGTTATCCTATTGCTTCAACTTGAAATAGTTTTAACTTCTAAAGAGGAAGCTTGGAATTTGGAAGCTTCAGAAACAAATGTTTTTTATCCAAAAATCTGAAGCTGACAATGGACTGAAGCAAATTTACTACGGTGATTTGACTTGCTCACATGTTGCCAGCAATTTTCCAATCAGTCACTAATAACTATGTGAAAGTGCATACTATGCAAAACAGGATTTTTTTTTTAAAAAAACCAGAAGTTTCAAAATTGTTTTCATAGATTAGAACAGAGGTCCCCAACCTTTTGGGCACCAGGGACCGGTTACATCGAGAGAAGTTTTTCTGCGGCCCGGAGACAGCGTGGTTTTGTGTGCTGCCTGCATCCTGTGGATGGGGCTTTCCTTGTTTGTGCGGATTGGTTGCTGGTATGTTGCACAGACCAGGAGTTGGGGACCCCTGGATTAGAACACAAAGCTGAGATCTCCAATATGAACTTCAGCCTAAATATATACTACATTTAGAAAATACAGACATAGATGTTTAGCGTATAATAAAGATCTATGTATCTGGTATATTGCCTACAGATCATAAGCCAGCAGGAGTTACTAAAATCCCCAATACAGTCTTACGTCACGGTAACAGACAGAAAAATTATTTGAAACTAATGTCACTAGTCATGCTGCATCTGGAGTCCTTTGACTAATCTTAGATGCTACATTTTAGGAACATTAAGAACTGAAGGAATGTCTACAAAAGAATAAGAAATATGGCAACCCAAGTCCAGTGCTTTTTTTGTAAAAAAAAAAAAAAAAAAGTGCCGGAACTCACACACTTGCCTACCCTACAAGGTTCCATCCAAAAAAGGTGCCGGAACTCTGTTCTGGGCATTCTATAAGAAAAAAAGCCCTGCCCAAGTCCAATAATAAATAGCAAAAACCCAACTCAGTTTCCAGAAGAATAGATTATTGGGACAGAGACTGTCACATGAGATAAGAGGGAGGAATTAAATTCAAGGCAAACACTAAACGACAGGTGGCTTTTGATCACCTGTAATCCAAATTTCCTTTGCTTCTATTCCTATTCCAGTTTCACTAAAATATTAGAACACAAAAAGGTATTTTGTAGTTCTGCAGATGCCCTGCTCTGAATGAGGTTAATATTGATCAGCTTATGGAGAATGGAACAACAAGGCAGGGCTCAGGCTCTGAAGACATTTGGCGAAGATGGTATGTATAGCTGGTCCTTGACTTACAACCATTTATTTAGTGACTGTTTGAAGTTACAATGGTACTGAAAAAAGTGATATAATAATTTTTACCCTTATGACCATTGCAACACCCCCACGGCATGTGATCAAAATTCAGATGCTTGGCAACTGGCATGTGGTTATGATGTTTGCAGTGTCCCAGGTTCATGTGATCTCCTTTTGTGACCTTCTAACAAGCAAAGTCAATGGGGAAGCCAGATTCACTTAACAGTTATGGTACTAAGTTAACAGTGATTTAACAATTGTGGCAAGAAAGGTCATATAATGGGGCAAAACTCACTTAACAACTCTCTTGCTTAGCAATGGAAATTTTGGGCTGAATTGTGGTCGTATATCAAGGACTACCATATAGGGCAATCAATGGGACCTGAATTTTGGAATAAGTTCTGAAACAGTATAGGAAAAATAAAAATAAAAATCATTATGAATTAAAATGTATAACCATGCTGGCCTAAAAACTGTGTAATGTAGCTAAAGAAGAAAGTCCATCCACTTAACAAAACATTAATTGAATTGGTCTCATTTGTTGCTTAGGTTTTTTTCTGAATGACAAAAACTCCATCCTTTAAATTGATCATTAAAAGATAAGAAATCTATAAAATATATGGTTCTTTACTTATCTGAAACTTACTCTTGGAAAAAAGACTCCTATACTTTAAACTGGTAATTTTGTATTTTTGTACTTGTATTTTTTAAAATGGCCCTCAAAATTGAAGAAGATGGAACAAAAGATCCACCTAGAAATTCATAATCTTTAGCAATAAAACACTCCAGTCCAACTAGCAGTTCAAAAGCATGCAAATAGCGAGTAGATTAATAGCTACTGCTTTGGTGGGAAGGTAACAGCGTTCAGTGAGCTTTTGGCATATAGCCATGCTGGCCACATGACCACGGAAAATGTCTTTGGAAAACACTGACTCCCTCAGCCAAGAAACGGAGATGAGCACCGCATCCTGGAGTCGGACACAACTAGACAGGGAAACCTTTATATTTAGCAACAAAATCTATGACTATTTTACACACTCAGATTTTCACTCCAATACTTCTAAACAGTGATTAATCATGAAGTTCTACAAGTACTTTTTAATAGAGAGCATTCAACACCTATGCAGGAGAATGATTAGTTACAACATGTATAAACTCTATATGAAAACAAAATACAGTGCTGTATTTGTTAAGGATCTACTGAGCTTAGCATGTTTAGATCAGCTTGGTAGTAGCCTTCATGAACATGTTACTGCTCTAACACTGAAAAGACTGTTCTGAAAGTGAACCCCACATGCCTGCATCTCTAGAGAATCAATCCCATATTCAGCATCATATTTAATCCTGTCTTGTTCTGTTTTACCAAAATGTGCAAGTTCAATTTTCTGAAAGAAGCAAAGATGTTTACAGTATAATTAAAACAGCCTCAAACATTCACATATCAATGTTTTAATATGCCTGACTCTAAGCCCTGAGGCTACACTTCACTTAACATCTTTGTTCTAATTAATCCATTTTGGCTGAACTTGGATATATGGCAAAGACTATTTGATTTTTGTATACCTGCGCTGTTCAAATTTGCAGCATTTAAACAAAGCATATCAATCAAAGAGGTACAACAGATGGAGAGGACAGTGAATTTCTTAATATGTAGGTACTCACTCAACCAGTCAGCAGCTCCAAAGTTAAATTTTAAAAAAATGTACAAACAGTAAATCAATCGGGAGTGAATAACCCAAGGACATATATATTCCTTGAAAACCTTTGATGCAGTCTCCAGAGTTCCTTCAAAAATTGACATCAAAATGCAATAATGATTGTGACAGAAAGAAAATTTATTACATATCTAGTAAGCAAATTAATTCAATTAATTAATTATTTTAAGGCTCAGCATAATGTATCTACTCTTCCATGTTGCAAAGTGATAATTTACCTTTTCATTTTTCCTTTCTTCTGTTTTGCAAGCTGTGTTGGTTGGGCTACAAGTTACCAAGCCAGTAATGGGCCCATTTCCAGCTTCTCCATTCAGATTGACTGCAGTGACATTGGGAGGAGTAATTGCTGCTGCTGCTGAAGTGAGAGGAATAATAGGTCTGGCACATTGTGCTCCAGGGATGATATGCACAGGAGAGTGGTGGATATGTTGTGGAGAAGCCACTGAGTGTGATCTGATCACAGTTGCTGGGAGGCGAGATGGAGAATTCTGACTTCTCAGTGGTGAGACTGTGGCTGTGGGCCGATCCTGGGCCTGCACAGAGTTGTGCACAACTGAAAAGAAAAAGGGTGTAGGGAAACAGGAGGGGAGGAAAAGTAATTTCAGAAACACTGTCAAAATAGAAATGGGGATATAATCAGTGATTTTGAACAATTCAAACTACTAATTCAGAAAGAAACTCTTTGATTATAGCTCATCTATAATACAGAAACAGTAACATCTCAGCTGTGCAAAAGCTTACAATTTTCATCTTATATCTTGATTTGCCATATGCAGTAAGAAAAACTACATGCAATTCAGAAATAAACATAGTTCAAGCAAATATATTCAGGATCAGATTGAACTAGATTTTCGTATAATACTTTTAAAATAAAAGTAATATGGAATATTTTAACTGAAAACTACAACATTTCTTATTTACATATGAATTCAGGAAGCAGTCTTATTTACTCCTCTCCCGTAACTACCTATTCTGACAGGCGAAGTAATCCAGAATAATGTGAACAACTTGAATTATTTGAATTATTTGTGGGGAAATCAGATTAATTTAATTTTGAGTTGGAATTCTGAGTTTGGACTGATTATATAGGTGTTATATCAGCAATCATTTGTTCTACTATTTTGATTGTTTTTAGCTGTCAAGGTTTTAAGGATGTGGACAAGATATACGGAGAGATGAGCCCTTTTGGATGCCCTGTGGAGGCTGAATCTTGGAGAGTATCATTTTACAGTGGTTCTGAATCTTCCTCTCAGGCTGGGTCCAGAAGGTGATACTGGAAGGCTGTGATTTGACACTTAGATTGTGGATTTACCCTGTTCCACTGGACCATTTCATTTTATCTCCCATGCTACTGATGTAGAGAATAAGGAAGATGACCTGGAAAGAGACAGGTGAGATCTGTTGTGTCCTGAGCCTGCAAAAGCAGGCTCAGGACGTTGCATTGGTCCTGGGCATTCCCAAAGCTGCCCGGGACCAGACAGAGCGGCGCCGGCCTTTTGCGCATGCGCAAGACGCAAAAACGCTTTGTTCCTATTGGTTGATACTGTCCGAGCTTCGGGCCATATGAAAAGGCCTGCGTGCCTTTTGCTTTTGCTTGGTTGTTGTAGAAGGAGAATAAAGTGTTTGTTCAGCATCGCCATGTGTCTTCATCATTCGCACGCGAATGAAGTATACAACAAGATCCATCTCCAAGAATGAGGGAAAAACATATCTTGAGATCAAAACAAGCACAAAATATGTGGCAACGGCTCAAACATCTCCTTAATCCACATGGGTATAAGAAGGGGAGGAGGTTCAGCATAATCAGCTTGCAAGATTCTACTATTATAGCCTCTCTCAATAAAAGTAGTCTTAACCTTCTCATGAAGTTGATTTTTGGTCTGATTTACCTGGTAGGGCTAACAGTTCAATATTTACACAAAGGTACTGGGAGAGATTATCTGAAACTTTTAGAATGGATTGTCATCATTATGCTGGCTGTATGCTGATGTCACCTCATTCTATACTCATTATCATTCAATTCCTAGGAAGTAGTCAGTATATATTATGTAAGTTTGATAATGAAGGATGGATAAAAACAGCTATTGGGAAACAGAAAACTGATCTCAGGGACTAAGTATCAGACTGTTTTGGAAACAGTTGCATTGTCCTTGAAAGAACAGATTTTCAGCCTGAGAACATTCCATGAATCTCGGCTGCCATTAATGATATCTTTGATGAAGAATGCACATGTCTATCCCTGAGCCAGATGAATTTGGCAGGGATTATTATTTTGGAAACCTTGAATATTGCAACATGCTCTACATGGGGTTCCTCTTAGTAAGTGTCTGGAAGTTGCAGTTTGAGAAAAATATAGCAAGCTAAATACTAATTGGAATCATATGATGTTGAGGTAACATTTACACTAGATGTACAATACAGTAAATATAATGCAATAGATAGCTGTTTTTCTCTTTCCTTAATGTCTAGCAGAATCTACATGCAGTATATAGCCATTTAAAAGCAAGACTTTTGTAATGAGTTAATCTTCTTGAAAATGTGGGATAACGAACCATTTATTCTATGTTTTGAAACAGTCACCTAAAAACCCAAGTCCATTCTATTGCACTTCTGATCAGAGGCTGCTTTTTCTTAATATGTTTAGGACAAATCAGTATTGTATATTAGGAAAGCAATCTGGTGATCATCAGAAAGTATTTCTGAAATGATTCTGAAAAGCTACTGGAATATATAATTATAGTAGAAAAGCTCAAACGAACAGCAGTGTAAAAGCTGATGATATATACATGCAGAAAATTCTTTGAACAAAGAATGCCATGTGGAAAAAAGCCCATTACAGAATGTATTTTTTTAAAAAAGAAAGAAATTGTATTTCAAGTCTGGCCTGGATGTAACACTTGTTGCATTGCACAATAAACATCTTTCATATTTTAAACCTAATAAAGTGTTTTAAAACATTAAAGCAATACATCACTTGTTAAGTAGACTCATCAAGTTTACTTCTTAACATACAGGATGGTTTATGCTTCCCAAATGAATTAGTGTAACATCTGTAAGTATTATAGTGGGACTTCTGCTGTGGGTACAGGATAGCAAGATAATCAAAATGTGGTTCTTGCAATCAATAAATACCACCTTAAACAATGCAGGCAAAAACCCAAACTAAAACTCTAATTCTTATTACTGATTACATTTTAAACAGAGCCAGGAATTTGCTGAGGAATCCTAGATAGACAGAGAATTCCAAAGACTCCTGTCTCTGACGTGAGATTCAGAGGACAGGATGCCTGCACATTATACCTACCCATTTGCACAGCACTGCGAGTCTGGGTAACTGTGTGCTGAGAAGAGTATCTCAAACAGTTATTCATCTGTGGGGAGCCTGCTGGCAGCTGGGTCTGAGAGGGAGGAGTTGTGATTGGAACCGCTGGTCTGGTAACAGGAACAAAACTGGTAAGAGCTGGGGCTCCTGGTGCAGCATCTCGAGGGGAGCCTTTTGCTGTTGGAGAGCCTCCTGTTAAATTCCTGGACTGGTTAGTTGCTGCAGGAACCCTGGAGGAAAAGGAAGTCCAACATAAGAGCTCTGTGCAAGGAGTGAAAGGCAACATTATTGAAACCAATGTTTCCTCATCTGATTAGATTTCTCCTGTGCCATTATTTGGCACAGCATCTCTTGAGATTTCTATTGTGTGCTTATCAAGTAAAATAAAGGACAAGCTTTTTTAGTAACTGCTAGACACAGATGATCCTCGACTTATGACTGCTATTAGAATTGGAAATCTGGTCCTAAGCTGTTATGGTTGAGACGCTCATGTGACCACAAATGGTTTTATGACCTTCTTTGCAACGGTTATTAAGCAAAACTGGTAGCTGTAAGTGCGAATTCATTCATTTGAATAGGGTTTTTTTTTCCCAGAAACTGGCCAAAACATTGTGAAACATCCAAACTAGTTGCCAGATAAGATAGTGAAGCCATTTACAATGGCTGGGGAATAGTTTACAGGCTGTAAAGCACCCACTCCATAGCTGTCGTAAATGTTGTTAAACAACCAGTTATAAGTTGAGGACTACCTGTCGAACAGCACATTATGCCTCATGAGAAAGTAGCCACCAAAGCAATATATAAGATTCAAAATAGGCAATCTTTACTCTTTTATAGAGAAAAAAGCTAGACAGAAATCCTTACTTCTGGTGTTGAGAAGAAATGTAGGCTGTACTAGTACTTGCATAAAAAAATCTGTTTGATGTCTTTTAAAGAAAACATGAAGTATGCCAAAAGTAGGAAACAGAAACAATGGGCATTTTAGCTGGTCACTGAATCATACAGATTTTCTACTTATCTTTGTGTAATTTCTACCACAGTTTAGATTATAGCCTTTCCTTGTCTAGCTATGAGCAACCTCTTTATATAGATATCAGTCTGAGATCACAGACAGGATGAACATGTGCTTCACTGTGAAGATACAAGTGGGAGATCAGGCACAACCCTTCAGCATCACAAACTGTTCTTACAAAACATTTGTGTGGATACTATGATAAAAATATTATGGAACTGAAAATAATAAAAATAAAAATATCTGAAATGCAACTCAGGGAAGACACATTTTGGGATTTATTTCCTTCCTTTGGGAGGTAGTGACATCAGATTACTAAACCTCCCACATTGCTTCTCACCTGGAGACAGGAGTGACATAATTGCCTGGAAAGACACCACACATGCCATTTCTCAAGGATGTCCCTTTGAACCAGCCATCCTGACACTTCTCGATAACACGATACATTTCACCCTTACGTAGTTCTAGTTCATCTGTCTTCTGAGGTTTGTAGGCATATAATGCCAAATATCTGTCAAAAATGATAAATATATAATTAGTGAAAGGGTAAAGATGAAAACGCACATAGCAAGTAAACCATATTTTGTTTTAACATAAAAAACCTGTTATTGTTAAATTTATTTACTCAGTGGGGAGCAATTATTATTGAAATTATTAACCAGCAAAATAATATAGGAAAAAAGAAGAGAAAACTCCATCCAGACAGCTACAAGATACTTAGCACATTGACACATTGAGTATTAATTGGAAATCTGTCTACAGATTTCAAAAATAGGATGCCCATAACTAAGTTTAGCTGGATACTGATTATCAAAATGAAAAGCAAATCATGGTGAAGAAATGGCACAATAGTCAAGTAATTCTACGTAATGTATTTTTAAGATAATTATCACTTTAAAAATAGGCAGCTGAATTAAAGGACAAATAAAAATAGTATTTCTAAAATTACCAGAAATCATTTTAAAAACCATAGTTTTTAAGTTTCCCTATATATCAGAGGGATAGTCCTTGAAAACCACGGTGGGTGGTTTGATGGGACATTGTTGTCCTGGGAGACTGGGACTTGTAGCTGAGGAAAACAACCGAAGGGAGGAAGGGAAGGGAAGGCACTTAAAAGTCTGGGTACAGGCAGGCTGATGGGCTATGTGCTCAGATATCTCTGGCCACGGAGAAGAGCAGGGATGACATGTAACAGCTCTGCCTTCTTTGTCCCATAAAATCACTTGCCAAGATTCTTCCAGATTTTTATTTCAGAACAACCAATCTTTCAGCAAAATCCCAAAACAATACAAATTCTGCCAGAACATTAGCCAATTCAAAATGGTTTGGCAGAATCTCTGGGATATGAAGGTTTGTTTCAAGTTCAAAACAAATATATTGCATATTCTATTGTGCGCACACTCCTAATAAGTTATACTATATATAAAACTACACTGGCTTGCCTAAATTACATGTGATTTTTTTTGTAATTACTGGGAGGTGTAAAAACTAGAATGTCCTCCACATAGCAGTTTAAAAAAATACTAAACCATATAATTCAGTTTGACTATAGACTGTAACCAATACACATGAGGCCTTAATTTTTCTACTTTCTAGAAAATGTAAGTTGAAAAATAAATGTTCCTTGCTTTTTTATTTTGTCCCTGTGTGCAGTAAGCATTCTTACTACAAGCAAAAAATAAACAGCAATAATTATTAGACTGCTCATATCTTTTAACAATTCCTTGAGGCACTCTTTGCCTTGATTTATCAAATGGTTCCAGTAGGCAGCATCCTGATCAAATAATTAATGTCTATTTTTCACAAGAGGCTTGAGGAATTATTGTCACATTATGTTTTGGCAGTCTATGTGCAGTGAACTATGTTAATTAGCTCAAGCACGTTGTCTGTTTTTAATGTAATCAGTACTAGCCACTTGGAACAAAATGTAAAACCCACAGCTATCTTTGACTACCCAGTAGCATTAGAAAATGGAATTGAACTTTGGACTTTTTGTGATGCTGGTTGTCTGGGTATCATGAGTTAACTGATACAGTTTCAATCTACAATATTCAGCATTAATAATTGTGAGGTAGAATTACATTTCAACTTTAATTTTCGGCTATAGGGGTTCAACTGTGACTGATTTTAAAATGTCAAATTCATGGTGCTATGATTGATGTCATCTTACGAGTTTGTGATACACTTTTGAAGTGAAGTCTGGTTTTTTAGTGCTTAAGAGCATAAAAGTGCTCATTTTCCTTTTTCTTACACATATTAAACGATTCTACAATTTGTCAAGTGGAATATTGCAGACAATTTACAAAAAAAACAAAGACAGAGCTAGTTAATTAAACATTCATAATTAAGTACTCATGGTATGTGTTATATATATAGGTAGTGCTCGTTTAGTGACTGTCTCGTTTAGTGAGAATTTGTGCTTAGAATGATGAAAAGTGACCAATCTTTTGTATGTCTACAAACCAAAGAAAGCTGAAACAAGATCAGAAGCTGTCACAATCTCATTTTATGACCGCTTTGCTTAATGAACTAGTTGCTGGTCATTAAATAAACCTAATGTGGTTGTTAAATGAGAACTCCCTATAATGCAGTTTGTACCTGCTATTTGTTCTAGTAATCTCACATTAGTTTTCCTGCATTACTTGTGCAATTATCCTCACTACTATATGTCACTAAGAATTTTCTGTCACTTTGGACATTGTGGCAGAAAAAATGCTATAACTGGTAAGGTTATATAAAGATAGACATGATGAGCAGCACATAAGCAAACAAATAAGATGCTGAAGAAATGGGTGAAGGACACTCATCAAAACTAATCAGAATATTTTGAATGGAAATTTTTTTCAGGGAATTTTGCAGCTGAAAAGAAAAGTGTTGGATCCAAAGAAAAGAAAACTGAGTTTGTGCTTGGCATTTTTCTCCTTGATTGTGTACTTAATTTCAATATGTAATTATTCTTTTTTAGTATCTTTCACTGAAACTAAATTTTTTATACATACCATGTTAATGTAACTTCATTTACTGCCCTAAATATATAACTGGAAGAATTTTATTTTATGAACCACTCTTCCTAATGGAATATAATTTTAGGTACTACATTGTATAGGAATATTGTTTCATAAATGTTTAATATCATTTATGACAGTGGTTCTCAGCCTGTGAACATGGGGGTCCGCGAAGGCTTAAAGAAATGTTATGATTTAAATCTTGAGTTAAATCTTGGTGGTTTGTGGCCACAAACAGTATTTAAAGGGGGTCTATGGAGAAGAAAAGGTTGAGAACCACTTATTTATGATATTAATGATTTTCTCTATTTGATAGGAATAATACCTACCAAGTAATCATTCACAGAACTATAATAAGTAACTTGGAAATTAAAATTGGTGTTAACCTATGGATACAAGTGACCTGGCTTTTCACTCATTACTTTTCAATTTTGACAAACCAGTCATAACCATGATGAGATTTTCAAACTCCAAATAATAAAGCAAAAATGATACATTGTTCTTCAGAGCAAAACTTCTGCTTACATATTGAGTGGTAGTTGGACCTTTGGTGGCGTTCCTTGATCTCCCACAATTGCACTGGTTCTGGGTCCAGCCATAGTTGCGGATCCAGCTAAAGTAGAATCCTAGAAGCAACAGAAGTGGAGAAAAATGAAAGAAATGTCCATTTCATATTCATTTTTTATTGAATTGTATGATTTTCAATGTGTTTATTTATGTATTTCATTTATTTACTTACGTACGTACGTACGTACATACGTAAGTATGTATTTCATTTATTAGCATCCTTTTCTCTTTAAGATAGGGTCTTTAGCTTTATGCATTTTAACAATGTATTTTTTTGCAGAAGAGTCACCATTGGTCAAAGCTTCATTGTAAAAAAAAACAACAGAAAATCAGTATTTTTTTCAGCCTAAAACAAGATTAGCCTCTCCATCCATCAGATTATACTATACTTAATTTGATAAGAGCTATTATTCTCTTTTAATTTCATTGTTTTATTAACTTCTTGTGCAGTAATAATTCTTGAACTGTATTGTATGATAAAAAATAAGATGGTTGTCAATTGCTTCAATGGTTATTTTGTACATTACTCTTTATAATCAGCCAGAAATCACTTTAGCAATCAGATGTAAACTAAAAAGCACTAAAATAATAACTATTGTCATTGTAACTTAGTTTATTATTATGTTCTTTATTCTGAGTTCATATTTCATTGTCAAGAGAGAAGCCAGCTCTAGTACTTATTGAACATACTATTTTAAAAAATAAAAGTAAAATGAAATGATAGAAGGTGTTGAAGCCATATGAACCTTGGGAGGAAGTGATCATGCAATATTGGAATTTAACATTATGGAAGCACAAGCAATAGAACACAGTCAAACCAGAGTCTTGGACTTCAAGAGAGCTAATTTCAATAAACTTAGAGAGGGTTTGGGAAGGATTCCATGGATGAGAATCCTCCAGGGGAAAACAACTCAAGAAGCTTGGGAAATTTTGAAAAGTGAGATAATAAAAGTCCAGTCTAGCATAATACCAACAAAGAGGAAAAATAACAGCTCTCAAAAGAAACCAGCATGGCTGCATAAAGAACTCTCTGATAAACTGAAAGATAAAAAGGACAAGTATAGAAAGTGGAAAGAGGAACACATAACTAAGTCAGAATATCAGCAAATAGCCCGAGCCTGCAAAGATGAAGTGAGAAAAGTTAAGGCTCAAAATGAACTAAGGCTTTCAACCAAAGTCAAAAGTAACAAAAAAAGCTTCTTTCAACATGTAAAAAACAAGAAAAAAATGAAGGAAACAATTGGTCCATTAGTGGGTGAAAGTGGCAAGAAGGTGACAAGCAACAGGGAGAAAGCAGAACTATTTAACTTGTTTTTCGCATCTGTCTTTACACAAAGGGAAAAAACAGACCGATCTATCAAAAATAGTGCCATAAAAAAAAGAATAGAAACACAAGTTAAGAAAGGCAAGAAAATGGTAAGTGAGCACCTGTCCAGCCTAGACGATGTAAAAAACACGTTGAGACTCTAGAAAGAGTACAGAGAGCAACAAAGATGATTAGGGGACTGGAGGCTAAAACATATAAGGAACGGTTGCTGCAATTGGGTATGTGTAGTTTAATGAAGAGAAGCACGAGAGGGGACATGATAGCAGTGTTCCAATATCTCAGGGGCTGCCACAAAGAAGAGGGAGTCAAGCTATTTTCCAAAGTGTCTGAAGGCAGGACAAGAAGCAATGGATGGAAACTAACTAAAGAGAGAAGCAACCTAGAACTAAGCTTAGAGAAACTTCCTGACAGTTAGAACAATTAACCAGTGGAACAACCTACCTCCAGAAGCAGTGAATGCTCCAACACTGGAAATTTTTAAGAAGAAATTGGACAGCCATCTGTCCAAAATGGTATAGGGTTACCTGCCTGAGCAGGGGGTTGGACTTGATGACCTCCAAGGTCCCTTCCAACTTTATTATTATTATTATTAAAAATATTTATGCCTTCTCTAGTTTTTAGGGTATTTGGAAAGGAGTATATTGGAGGTTAAATTTTGCCATTTCTGGACTTCCGTAGTACATGGCTGCACGAGAGCGGACCTCCACTCCCCATGGCTAGTTTTGTCCTGCCAGGGGGACCCTAGATGGGTCTCAAGTTGCCCCAAAAAGGTGACTATGAAAGAGGGGTGCCCCGTTGATCATGAAGCAATGGCGATCGCTTTGTTTGATCCGGGGGAAGCCCTCCGAACCCAACAGGAGAAAGGCTAGTATGAGATTAGTGTCTAGCCCAAGCTACTTGCAGCCGAAGTCCCAGAGCACGAATCTGAACATTGGTGAACAGCGTGCTTGGAATTGGTGAGAGTACTGATCTTCTTTCTTCTATCTACTAATTGAATCCTTGAGAAAGATCCCCAAAGTAAGAAAACCTCTGGAAGTGAAGGGAGGGGATTATATCCCCATTCCCTTATAGATGGAAGTGGCGAATTAATATTAAGGAGGAAAGAGATATACTAAAATTTGATTTAAAATACTACAGTCTGGATAAATCTAGGAACTAAGAAACTGACAAGATTATACCTTAAAGAGTTTTTGTTGGAATTATAAAAATATATAACAAAAATAACTTTTTGATTAAAAAAAAAAACTGAAAAAAGAAATAACTACTGACATCTAGTGGAGAATCAGAGTATAGAATACTAACAATAAAGACTCAGAAATTGGCAGAATGCCTAGAGATAAAGAAAAAGCTGTTCCTTTGAATTGCAAATAACCATGAAGACAGCTGGGAACAAAGAAAGAGCCAGCTGTAAGATTAAAAAGTGTTTGAAAGAAAAAAAACCACCTGGACTGTTGCTTAAATCTAAGAGCTGTTTATGGAAAAGAAAAACCTTGGCTTTTGGCTAATCTTCTAGGGGAAAATTTACAGAAAGGGTTTAAAGTGGCTTAACGCACTGAACTGTAATTTTGACTGACTGATAAATTGACTTTTGAATTAAAACATTGATGAAAAATTAATTGAAGGGGGGAGACAACATGGATATCACATACGTATCAAAAAATGACAGGATGCTGGAAAATCAAGTGCTTCCAGAAGTAATATTTCAAAGCAAGATAAATACTTTCCAGGAGGAAATATATGTAATTTTAGGACAAATACAAATGACAATAGATTCAAACCACGAGGAAATTCGAAACACTCTGATGATTTAAATAAGCATATTTCCAATCTAAATCTACAATTAAAAAACACCCAGGAAATAACAATGAATGAACAAATAAATCAGATAACAGACTACAAATTAGAAAAATTTGATCAAATTGATGAAATAACAAATTAAAAGAATTACAATTTAACACAAACAGGAAAAAAATCTACAAGGTTCTGATACAACAAGAAAAATGGAATGGACTATAGAATTACCAGGAGAACCATCCAAGTTTGGGAGACAGAAAATATACATCTTACTTACTTCATCTTTTGGATTCCCAACATTTGCAAAAATACAGGAATTGCCGGATAAGCGGATTACATCAACTTGGAAAACTACTCGGCAAAAGAAGAAGACCAGGGACATATACAAGAGATTTGACTCGCCCTACCAGATAGACTATTATGTGAACAAACATTTGTCTGAAATGGTATAGAGTTTCCTGCCTGAGCAGGGGGATGGACTAGATGACCTCCAAGGTCTCTTCCAACTTTATAATTATTATAATTATTATAATTATTATTGAATATAGCTAAAAGAATAGAGAACTTTGAACATAAGGGGCCCTATAACAAGAGGGATAGGAGTTTTAAGTAATATAGTATGTTCCATAATATATGAAATATAAAAATAGCAGGTTGATATAACTTTTATTAATATAAGTGAAATATAAACTGATTAAAAAGGATATTATATCTAGATACTATAAGATAGATAAAAAGTATAGTATTTTTATAATGCATACATAAAATATTGGGATGATGTACTTAAATGGGAAAATTTGGACAGATGACTAACATGAAGAAATTATGACTGATAAGAATTGGATTAAATATAAGGGAAATTAAGCATAAACAAAAATTATGAAAATAGGATGCATGCTGAACTAATTAGATGATGGTTATAGGAATAATACAAACTGAAAAAAATGTCATACATAGAGATTATTATTATTTGTATAAATATAAAAAAAGCCTATATCTAATCATTTTTATATTGAAAATATTAAGAATTATATTTTGGTTAAGTTTGAAGAAAAAGAATATAAATGGGAGAAGGGAAGATCAAAGAAATATATCATTAATTAATATACTAATTATGTAATTGTTAATTGATTGTTAATTATTATTTTCCTTTTTTTCTTGTTAAAATATAAACCAAGGCAACATGCTGTACACCAGGCACTGGAGATTGTTATAGTTAAAAACCAATAAAACATTTATTTAAAAAATTGCCCTTTTTGAAAGAGTATATTCAAGAAAAGAAATGTTAAAAGTTTTCCTGGCTATTTCTTGTCTGTGCATTTCAAAAGATAGTGCATTTTATTCTCTCTCAGGTGATGGAATTTGGATCAGTATTTTTAAAAGTTTCCAAGGTTTGGCAACAAATGGATGGATTCATTTATTTACTTATAAAGAGTCCTGATATGAAATATATTCATAAATCTTCCTCCTATTTATGTCATTTTGTGGGATTTTACAAATCCCCAAGTTAAGATGCATTTCATAAGCTGTGAAGTGTGACAAATTTAATGCTTCTTTCCAACTCACTGTCTCTTAATCTTACAGACTCTATCAGTCATTTAGTTAGCTGACTGTAGCACCAAGGACTGGTACAGGGGCAATAGTACAGAAGGGCCAGTTTTTAGTGCTGATATTGGATACCTGATTTTCTAATGAATTGCCCTTCTGAACAGTAGGCATAAGAGTAACACTCCACAGAGAAAGGTTGGAAAGAAGAAATATATTGGTCCTAAAATATATTGGATTCTCCGTTCCCCCAATTAAATGGCAGAATACAGTTAAAATGCAGACAAATAACTCATTTGAGTCATACAAATATCTGTTTGGCTACTCTATTGTTCAGATCAGATTAAAAAAAATCCAGGCCAGAATCAGTCCCTACATGCAACTGATCTAAAT